CAGACTGGCTTCCTCCGCTCAGTAGTATGCACTGAAAGTTTCTCCTGTCTTTTTGTGGGTTGTAGCTTATTTCTTTTTGCCATCCAGTAGTATTCCACTGTCTGGATCTACCACACTTGTTTTTCTCCATTACCTGTTGAAGGATATCTTGGTTGCTTCCGACTTTTGAAAAGTATGAATAAAGCCACTATAAACATTCTTGTGCAGGTTTTTGTGTGGGCATGCATTTTAAACTCATCTGGGTAAATACCAAGGAGCACAATGGCTAAATGGTATGATAAGCATATATTTAGTTTTGTAAGACATTGTCAGTTTGTCTGCCAGAGTGATGCCAACATTTTGCGTTCCCATCTGTAATGAATGAGAGTCCCTGTTGCCCTGTGTCCTCACCAACATTTGATGTCTGTTTCCTTTTATTCCGAAGTCAGGTCTATCCCAAAGATCTTAGGTTCTGAAACATAAACGGAGAGAGAATCTGGTGGACCACGCATTGAGGGACATTACTAGGAAGGTCTTGCATCCAAACCAACCTCAAATTCTTGTTCTTTATTTGGGTGTGTTTTGCTCCTACCTTCTTCAGTCTCGTTGAGGGTGGGGTGGAGTAGGGGGCCAAATCCTTCAAACAATGTAATAATTCTTTTTTTTTTTTAAGATTTATTTACTTACTTACCTATGCATACAGAACTGGGTACAGGCCAGAGGTCCAGGGACAATTAGAGGATTCACAGAGATAGAGTGGGAGCAGATCGACAAAGTACACTGCTAAGGGGAGCAACAGGTGGGTCAGGAGAGGTCTGCTGCACCCTGTGGGTCACCTCCCGGGTGGGGATTGAACTCGCACTGAGTGGCTTCGGCTTGCTTGCAGTGCTGCGCCTTAACCCGATGCACCACCAGGGAGGGCCCAACAGTGTAAAATTCTTACTGAGGTGGCAGGGGGATGAAGTGCTTGCCCCGAGCTGAGATGAACTAGCTAGGCCTCTAGGAGCTGTCCTGGACTGTGACATGACCTTGAGAAGGCGGGGCACATGCCATGAAGGTCAGAGCAGAGGAGGGAAACCCAGGAGCCTACAGAGCAGTCAGCCTCCTGCACCATCAAGGCCCATCTACCTTCCAACTCTTTAATCACAGAGAAATAAAATTTTAGCTTATTGAAGCCCAGGTGAGTTTTTCATTTTGTTATTGGTCTTTCTGTAATTTGCTGCTGAACCTAATTCCAGCAGGCACGTGAGGCTCAGTGGTTTGGCACAATGCTAGTTTGTCCCGCACACCTGGGCCTGAAATGCTCGCAGTGTTAGGTGACAGCAGGTAGCCGTATGAGTTACAGAGGTAGCCTGGGGACGGGCTCACTTCCCCTCACTCCCTTAAGTAAGTGGACCAGAGGCTGACTTCTTGCCATGGGACTGATGGGGGAGAAGATTGCCATGTGTATGTAGTATGTGGGGAGGGAGCGGGGGGGTTGCTGTGTGAGGTGTGGTGTGTGTGGAGGGAGCACTCAAAGTTTTTTCCATAGAAATTAATGATAATAACGTTCCCAGGTCCCAAAAATAACCTTACCAAGTAGGAACATTCTACCTTCAGATAGTTGGGGAAGCTTATAAAATTTTAAATGACTGGAGCTGAAGCTGATTGACTAGAGCCAGTGATACTGAAACAAGTTTAAATTTAAATACAAAGTGCTGAGGGAGGTAAAGTATTTAGATTTGGCAGGCTAGCAAGCAGTAAGATTTTAAACCTCTCTTAAAAGTCCATTCAGAACCCTATGCCGGGTTGGGATAGGGTTTCAGTCACTGGGTCAGTAGCTTGCTTTCCCTTAACCCGCTCCTTCTCCCCTCCCCCTCCTCCCCCCATTAAGGCTTTTGTGCACTCCCCCTTGGGTGGCACTGTGGGGTCCCTGAAACACATCAGAGAATCAAGCCCCAAGCAGATGGGTTAGCTTGGCCCTCCCAAAGCAGCCAGCCTGGAAAACTCTAGCAGCTTGTTTTGGGAATTTGGTGGGGGCTGCCCCTGCCATTTCACCCCTGAGGCCCAGGATGGGACCTGGGAGGTGAGAAAGGGGTTGGGGCAGCTAGAGTTGGAGCTGCGGGGGCTGGCACTCGGAGTGGCATAGATGGGTTCTCAGGGCGCGTGTGGTTTTCTCATTCTAGGCAGTAGTGCCAGGGGAACAGTGGTGTTTTGTGAAGTAACAGCTTCTTCTGAGGCACAGATGGAAAAGTCACTTTTATTTCAGGCCTGCTGCTTTTCTTCCCCTGCCTTCCCTGAAGCATCAGCCCCATCCTGGGAGAGCAACCCAAAAACGAGGCTTCCAGACTCACAGCCTCTCCACAGAGCCCAGCTGCTAGGCACTATTAAAATGAGCGTTGAAAAAGGCCCAGGGCCCGGTGCTCCCCTGGGGAATCACCTCAGATGACTGAGGTGGGCGGGTGTGGAGAGACTGAGTTAGTGAGATGAAGCTGGCAGCTTCATGTCTGGGTTGTCTTCTGTGTCAGCTCTCCAGAAAACCCCATTCGGGACAAAATAGCGCTCAGGAAAAGCTGAGCGTATGACCTACTTATAGGCAGCGTTAATTATGGGCTCTCGGGTGCCTGTCGTCACTTAGCCAACTTCCAGGGCTGTTGATGGAGACTGATTTATCCAAAGCAGCCCAGGCCCAGCTCTGAAACAGCACCCCACACATCCGCATGGATCCTAGTGGGAGTGACCACTAGGTGGGAGCCAGGGCAGGGACCAGGGTGGGCTGGGGGCGTGAAGCTCCAGGTCACCAGTGCTGCCAGAGGAGCCTCTTTGTGGGCTGAGGTGCAGAGTGCCAGAGGGGGCCACACGCAGCACCCCCGGGGGCCTGAGGCAGCTGGCAGGATGATCCAGCCCATCTGGGGCTCCCAGAACCTCACCCTCGGTTGATTCTCTTTCCACACGCGTCTTCCCCTCCCTGGAAAGTTCATCGGCTGCCCACACATGCATGCACGTATGTGCTCTGTCCCCCAAGGACTCTGGTAAACAGTTTTCTCTCTCTAGTAGAATCTCATTGTCTTTTGTAGGCTTCATTCTTCCCAGCTCATTTGTGAAGCAGGCAAGGGGTATCATTACCACTCTCTTTCTTGTTAAGCTGCCTGAAAGGAAAAAAAAACAAACAAGAAAGTTTTTCCTTTTCCAAGAGTCTAATTACTTGTTGGGTGAGCCCTGGCCCATATACATTTCCAAAGAGAGAGACACTTGATGCTGCAGAAATGATCTTGGGCCGGATTCAGAGACCCTCTCTCTGCCCACCGTTCCACCATGCTGGCTCAGCAACCAGGCCAGTTTGTTTCTAGAACTCCTCTGTGAAGTTAGGGCTCTCTCTGCCTTGCCTTGGGCACCTAGATTTGCCATGCTCTGTCATGCCTTTTTGCCAAAGCCATATTTGTCTCTTCGCCAGACCTGTGTCTCCTGCCCCGAACTAACTCTCCCTCCCCTGAGCAGACTGTGTACTTTTTTACCTGCTTTGGGTTTTGCATGAACAAACTGTTCTGTGTTTATTTACCTGCCTGGACTTCCCTCCCCCACAGGCAGGGAGCCCCTGGGGTGAGGTCTCCACTGGGCCATCTTTTTATTTTTGACACTTGGCATGCTTCCTTAACACGATGGGGTGCAGAAAGGTAGGCCCTTCGGGAACACTCACCTGCCAAAATGACAGAGATGCCAACATGCACTACCAGTGCCTCTGAGCCCAGCTTCCAAGTTCTTGATGTCAGTGCCTCACACATTTTCAGGGTCTCCCTTGTGGTGCAGAGGGTTAAACTGCAGCACCAGCACTATGAAGCTGTACAATTTTAACTTCCAGGCCAGGGAGTTGACCAACATGGTGCAGCAGACCTCTCCTGTCTCACCTGCTGCTCCCCTCAGCAGTGTGGTTCAGTCAGTCCACCTGTTCTGCTCCCCACTCTGTCTCTGTTGGATCCTCTCCACCAATCTGCATCTCTGTGCCTATACCCCAGCTCTTACGTGCATAAATAAATCATTTTAAAAATTCAGCATTTTCCGTCTTGACACTGCCAACTCATCTTGTGATTTGCATTGAGGTTTCCTCTCTCCATTCATTCATTCATTCCTTCGCCCTCCTCCATGTCAGCTACTTCTCCGGGCAATGGGTGTGCAGAGATGAACAACACAGATTAGTCACGACCCTCATGGAGTTCCCATTCTAATGGGCAGAGAAGCAGCAGGTAAATCGATAAATAAGAGGGTTTGTGTGGAGGGTCACGGCAGGTGGAGACGTGGACTCCACCTCTTGCTGGAGGGAAAGGGGCTTGGTGCCAGTGCTGACAAGTTTGTGGGGTAAGAGGAATTGTTGGGGCCACCTTGGGGAAATATACCAGCCACATTGCTTTTTCTTTTCCTATTCTCCTGCTTCAAAAAAATGACCTTAAGTAGTTTGACAGAAGAAAAGGCCCTCTGCACAAAAGGTTTTCCCTCTTTGTGGATGTGGTCAGATTATCATTCATGTTTTGTTAAACCCGTCACCAGAAAGTGATCCTCGTAGCCCAGGCTTGCTGAGCGGGCGCCACCCAGGCTGCAGGGCATCCTCTGGCAGGGATGGCAGACACACGTGCACACTCACATGGCAGTCAGTGGCGGGTTCAGAGCTGGCCTCAGCGCTTTTTGGCAGGGCGCCTGGGGGTGCTGATGGGTGTCCTCTGAGTGACAGTTTTGAGGCATCTGTTTTGGGACTTGCATCTGGCTCAGCTCTGGATGGCTCAGCTTCATGATGAACAATCAGGGCCCCCATCACCCTGGGCCCCAGCACTCCAAGATGGTTCGACTTTGAAGAGAATAAAGGTACAGTGCTGAGTTCTAGTATCCGCAAACCACGGATGACTTCCTTTCTCCAGAATATGCCTGTGGTGCAGAGAAGGCAGAAACTGGTCTCCTTGGGCCAGGCATTGTCACACCCAGCCCTCCCCAGGGGAGTAACGCATGCACCCTGCTCTACTCGCTCTAACCGCTGCCCTCCTTTGGCCCAACAGACGGTGACGTGCACTTGTGGTGCCCATCGCTGCAAGACATCAATGATACATTTCACAGACTGGGAGCCCACAACCCTGCTGTCTACCCTCTGGGGCCCATCCAGCAGGAGTGGAGGTGAGCACGTCTCTGTCCTCGCCGCCCTTTTTCATGTGTTCAACCGTTACGGAACTCGTGTCAGACCCACCAATTCACAGACATTAAATACATGCAGGTTCTTGCATGTCAGTCACGCCTCCATATTTTCTGTGAACATACTAGTATTTTATAAATGTCAGAATGAACTGTTACCAAGAAAGAGAAAGAACCCTCTACACAGATAGGCATGCTGTGAAGCATCAAAATACTCTTTAGCCTGTAAACATCCTACATACAACTGGCCCTTCCCTGAAAAAGGCTGTCAGTTGCAGTCCTGTGCTTGGTGTGCATCCTCACTTAGCTTTTTCAAGTCAGAGAAAGGAAAGAATTCCTCTGATTATTACGTAAAATTAAGTGCTTTTTTTTTTTTTTTTTTGAGGTGAAAACACAAAGTCAGTAAGCACAGGCTCCAGCCCACACGGTGAAGCATTCTGAGGAATTGCAGAACCGCCCACAGTACCTGTGAATATGAGTGTCACACCACAGACTGAGCTGCTATACTCCTGACCCCAGGGGACAGGAAGCGCCGCGCAGAGGCGGCTGGCTGCAGTGGCTGCCATCTGCTCCTGCCCCTTCCTGACTCAGGCCTCGCTGCCCCCCTTGTCCAAGACACATCCCCATCTCTTGTCCCCTCCAAGGCTTTCGTTTGACCTATTACCTCACAGCCAGCAAGTAATTTCCACAAAGCCCAGTTTTGTTTTGTGGGTGCCCCCTTGTGTGCCCACTCTAAACACTGGCGCTTTGGGAGGGCAGTGATGTTCAGCCTGCCCTCGAGGAACAGAACCTTTTGCACATAAATGGCCGTTGGTGAGGGTGGGTCGTAAAATTTTTTCATAGTGTAAGTTTGTGTATTAATGATAACACAGCCAAAGCTTGCTCGGGAATCCTTTGAGGCATCGGTTGGAGGGGTGACAGTGTTCCGGGCTGTGACATGGGAAACCCCCTCCCCCACCTGATAATCCCTCTGCCCCAGGAGGGACCCTTTCCTTTGCTGTGGGGCTGATGTTCCTCTTCTGGGAAGGATGAAGCTTTCTTAAGAACCTGTTCCACGACCATGTTTAGTAACTGTCTGCCAAACCAAACCAGACCAAACCACACTCAAGTTCTGCTATAAATACCCCACGCATGTGCCAGCCTGTGCCTCCTGCGCCCTTCCTCCCCTTGGAGTCCCTATCTGGTGTAATAAGCCACTCTGAGATGAGTCGGGGAAGAATAGACTCAAGAAAGCAAATGCGCAGGGGAGGGGCTCAGAAGGGCCCCTTCTGACTGGTCCTAGTGTCCACTTAGGAAGTGAGAAGTCCCGGAAGCTTATGGGCACTTACTTACTCTGCAATCTGCAAAGAGCCTATCCCCTACCTTCCCCCTCCCCCCAGAAGGTGTGGTTTCCAGCACCCCTTATGCTTTAGGACAAATCCACTGTATCTCCAGGGGGCAGGTGGGCATTAGAAGTGTGGCCCTTTAAACATAGCATCTCAAATACTTGGGAACACGGGCCACGGCACACGGACTTCCAGTTCTGGCAATGCTCTGTGTAGGAGGAAGCGATCGGTCAGGACAGAGCCCAGAGCTCCTCGGAGCTTTATGGTTGCATTCCCAGGCTGCTGTTTTAACACTCCTGTCCCCCTTCCTCGGGCCCCACACCTTGGGCTGACTGTTAGCACTATTTCTGGAGGATTCAGAATGGACCCAGTGGGTGTAGCCAGTGACTGCTGGGGTGAGTTCCTGTGCAGTTCTAAGAACGGGAGGGGGGGTGGGGGGGGGCACCTGGCACAGTCCAGAGCTTCAGGAGGTTTTCCCCTCTGAACTAAGCCTTCTTTTGGGAAGAGAACAGGTCTCGGAGACCTTCCAGAACCTCCCTTGACCCAGGTGGCAAAGAAACTTCTGCGGGTTTCCTGGGTTGTGACTTGGCTGCTGTGCGTGGGGAAACCCTGGGTGTCAGGGACTTGAAAGCCAGCGCCTTTAAAGTATTCAGGAAGAACCACAGAGGTGCCAGCATCTCATTCATTGAGGGTGTGGCCCCGTGGCTACGTGGACTGAAAGAAACTTCAGGACTGTGCCATCTCCCACTGTCCTCGTCCTGTTCCTGACCAAGCTTAGTGACTTAGTGACCAAGTTCCATTGACTTCCAGGGAAGTCCTCACCCAGGGCTCCCCTGGGGCAGATCTCTGCCCACCACAGAGCTCATAATGGTCAGGAGTGAGTGGGCTCTACATGTGGCCCCGAGACTTGGTTGTCTTTCTAGCTGCTCCGACAAATACACCTTTCATCGTTTGTTCTTAATCTCAGATTTCTTTAAAACTCATGACCATCTTATCCAACACTTCAGAATTTCCTTTCAGAAAGATACAGCCCTTCTGCAGCCAGACAGGTGGATGATCTGACGTCTGCCTGTGGCAAACACTGGACATCTGCCCAGTGTTGAGGCCTGGCAGGCACAAATTGGGGGGATGTTTAGGGTGATGGGACAGAAGAGGAGGCACCAGCACGTGAGCACTGAATGGGAAACAGAAGAGTGAGAGTTTCTGCAACCTCACTGGGGGGCTTGTGCCCCCACACAACCACACATAACACCCAGTCTCACCCAGAAAGAGAGGGAAGGGAATCCTGGCTGGCCCTCCCAAGGCCGCCCCTGTTGACCAAGGCTGGCTGACGTGCCCTGGTCAGGTACGCACGACTGGCCACTGAAGACCGGCAGCCGGCTGCTGTTGCCAAGAGTGGGAAGCCCTCTTTCACTTGTTCCTCTGACAGGGTCACCTGGTGCAGAGGCCAAGCAGGTAAATAAATGACAATTAATACATTGAGAGGGCATGCTGTCAAGTGAGGGGCGGTTGGTAACTGACTGTCTTGGGACTGTGTAATTGGATCCAGGTGAGATTTGCTTCTCTCCCCCTTTCCATTAGCTCAGCATCGATTCCTCTTCATCGCATTGACCTCAGCCATTGACCTCAGCTGCATAGGCCAGGTCTCCCCCCCTCCCGGGGGGCTCTCATAGTGTCTCATAGTGGTAGGAGTGGTACTCAGGGGCTCCCCTCCCCCACCTCCCCATCAAGAATTTCCATGCACTTTGCCCATAGTAACAATTTTTTTTTTCAACTTTGGGGAGGGAAACAAATATAGAAGCCGCGGTAGAGCTGAGTGATATGCTGCAGGACAGCGTCATCGTGACCCAGACACCAGCTCCTGGGTGCTGCCACTGGCGGAGCCCCGCAGGCACAAACAGGGTGCGGGAGGAGGCCCCAAAGGCAGAGGCTAGAGGGTGAGGCTGCTTCGTTCAGGGCATCCACTGATGGAACCGTCTGTGCCCCGAGCCTGCCGAGTCCCGGCAGGGCCCGTGTGGGGCTTTAGGGCTGTGCATGCCTGTGCTCCACGGTCTCCAGTGCTCCACGGTGGAAGCCACTGGTGTGCACCCGGAGACAGTAGTCACAGGCGCCAACACGGCAGCCAAGTGGTCCTGAGGAAGGCTGGAGTCGAGGGCCCCCTACATGCCTGCTTCGGCAAGGGGAGGTGGCCCACGGAAGAGCTAGAGCGCTGTCTGCTCTCCGCTTGGGAAGGTTGGCATTCCCTCTGAGGAGGAGAGGGCCCTCGTCCCAGCCACACCTCCCTCCCCAGTTCAGAGAAGATGCCTCACCAGCCACACTCCTCCTCCCTCTGGCAGCACAGACTGTCTGAGAGCCCGTTCCTCTTCCGCAGAGTCACGAAGCTGAGCCGTGGCTGCCCCCGCCCTTCGGGAAATCTGAAGGCATCCCACGCACATGCCTTCCTGCCCCGCGCATACCCACAGGCTGGTACCAGCTACAAGCCCCCTCCCTCGCTGGCACAGCACAGCATGCGCCCAGATGTGCAAACACCATCCTCACCCATTCTCTGGCTGGAACAAACTCTAAAATCTGCAAGAGTGGTTGAGCCCAGCCCTAACCCCCACTCCTCCACTCCCCACTCCCTAACACCCACTTCCTGGGTGTCTAGAAACAGCTCTCCCACGTCTCTCTGAGAAGCAGCACTGTGCCAGGGAGATCAGAGGCTTTGCACTGGAGCAGCCAGAACCACTCTGTCCCCTAGTCTGTGGCCCTTCTCATCAACAGTGTTGTCATTGGCAATATTTTCATTACTGAGAGCCCCCAGTCGGAACTGCCACTTCACTAATTTGCAACCAGTAATGGTCGTTTAGCGAAGGACCATTGTTACAGAGGTCAGTTCTGCTCCGTCTCACCCAGCGAGCCGGTGCCCAGGAAGCGTGGGCAGAGCGTGGTGTGACGCATCTTGTCTCCCACCTGAGTGTAACTGGTCTTTATACAGCCCTGGCCTCTGGCTTCCTTTGTGCGAGCAGATCTGACGCCCCGTGAGGGAAAGCCGGCCGTGCCAGCCTTGCAGGGACACGGCCCGTTAGCTCCGGCGACACACCTGCAGAGGGGCTTTCTGGGGCCAGTTTTACTGGATTTCCACCTCCCTTGCAAACCTTGGAAACTAGTCCCAGTGTAAGTACGATGAGCTGAACTTTTCAGGGACAAAGAGGACAAAGAAGGCACTTGTTAAGGATAATGTTTATTATTATTAAACATTTTTTTGTTTATGCATACGGAACTGGGGTACAGTCCAGAGATGCAAGGGCTTCACCAGAGACAGAGTGGGGAGCAGAACAGGCAGACTGATGAAATACACTGCTGAGGGGAGCAGCAGGCGGGTCAGGAGAGGTCTGCTGCACCATGTGGGTCACCTGGTGGGGGGGATCGAACTCGCACTGAAGCGGCTGTGGCCAGCTTGCAGTGCTGCACCCTAACCCTTTGCGCCCCCAGGGTGGGCCCCAAGGAAGGCTCTTTGGGGGCAATGGAGTATGGTTTTCTGGTTTCCAAGTGCCAGAAAACTAAAACTAAAGCTGGAAACTGCATTCAGCCCGCAGGAGGCCCCCAATGATCTTCTGTCTTCACTTCTCTGGGTCAGTCCTACATGGCCCATAGAAATCAGCAGAAGTAATGGATTGTCGCCCCCCAAGGCTGTAAAAAAATGGAACCTTTGTCTTGGGTGTTTTCCTCCCTGGGGTCACTGGCTCCCGGGGAAGTCAGTTGCCAGGTGGAAGAGCCCTGTGGACTCCCTAGAGAACTAGAGACCTACCCACGGCTGCCTGCAGCCCCTCCCCAACATCCTGGGGGTAGTTTCCTAAGAGACCCTGAGCTAGATCCTGGATTCTCAACCCTCAGGTGATGTGTGAGATAACAAATGTTTGTTGCTTCAAGGATGCTGTGTTTGGGAGGAATTCACACAGCAGTGGACGGTCACACAGCAGAGCAGTGGCCCAGCCGGATGGGTCATTGGGCCCACTCGCCCTCTGTCTCCTCTTACTTCCCTTTCTTTATTTTCCTCCCACCTTAGCGTGCTTCAGAGTGAGGCTGGCCTGAGGCAGGGCGAGCAGAACTCCCCGCAGGAGACCGCCTTGGACACCAGCCTGACTTACATCTATAAGGTAAGTCAGGGCCCTCTCAGCTCAGGTGCAGAAACAGCAGTATAACTCCGTGAGAACCACCCAGCACCTGCCAGGCACTCAGCACCAGCACAGGTACTGAGCTACAGAGAGCTCATGTTGCACAGTCCCCAAGCTGCCACGCAGGATTATGGGATACCGGGTGGAGGGATTATAGAGGGGGGTGTTGCCTCTGATCGCTCTCTGTTTTTCTCTTTTCATTCAGCAAGGCCCAGGGGACACCACCCCTCAACCCCCTCCTGCCAGACCCCATCTCCTAGGGAGGCCAGCCTGCCTGAGCACTCTCTCTTTTCCCCAGTTCCTGACACTGTGCGTCCTAGCCCAGCCTGGGGCCTACACCGACAGCAACCTCCTGGGCCTGATTGAGCTGCTGTGCCGAGCAGGCCTGGATGTGGGGCTCCGCCTGCTACCCAAAACCGATCTCCAGCAGCTACTGCTCTTGCTCCTGGAGAACATTCAGGAGTGGCCAGAGAAGGTACCTCAGGACCTGAGCCTCACCTGCGAGGTCCCAGGTGCTCCTGCCATAAGGGACTGGAGCAGACCCCAGAGTCCCCAGGATGGGGACCCTCGGCTTGAAGTTCACCTAGTGCCCAGGCTCTGTCCCTGCGGTCCTGGGCCTCCATGACCCAGCCTCCTACGCGGCAGGCTTCCCTTCAGGCGGGCTGGTGGAGGGGTCAGGGTGGAAGGGGCCCTGCCCACGGTCACCTGGAAGCTCGTTGTGCCCGCAGCTGCAGCAGCTCTGCAATGCCCTGAGCTGGGTGTCCGATCATCACCACAACCTGCTGGCCCTCGTGCAGTTCTTCCTGGATGTCACCTCCCGGAGCAGGTAGGCACCTCCCGGAGCAGGTAGGTGCTCCCCGCCTGCCTCGGCCTCTCCCCTCTGACACTCATGCGCTCCGCCTCCCTCTGCTATGGGGTAGGCTGTGGGCATCCAGAATCCTGGCAGGCAGTCCCTGCAAACCTCCCTCTCCACCCAGTCTCCAAGACCCAGGAGAAAGAACTAAAAATACAGCTCACTAATGAGTTCATTACAAACTGAAAAAAGCCTAATTTTCTTAACATGGTCTTATTAGCAAAACAATTGCCTTATACAATTAGCTTCAGACTGAAGAGTCCCACCCTCCTTTTTTGTGACTCCCTCCCTAGGCCTTGGTGGGGGGGCGGAGGACTTCCTTCTTGCCATTCAGACCTGAGCTCAATTCAGTTCCCAGATCTCTCCCCATCCCCTCCCGAACTCACAGCTCCTCATTCTGTTTTAGTCTCCCCACAGCACCCACCTCCTCCAGACTTGATCTCATTCTTGGTTTCCCCCATGGAAGCCAGCCTCTCCGCCCTGTTATGTCCAGGGCAGCGGTCTCATGGGGATCCCTGCCACATCTATAGGGGTGCCACTCTACAGGGCTGCCACCTAGACCTGTGCCCAGCATGCTATGGGTGCTTTGGAGATTCTTTCGGAATGATTAAATGAGGGGAACAATAAGCTCAGCTAACAGGGATCCTCTTTCTGTGGACCTGACCCTGTCTCTCCTCTCTGCCGACTCCAGTTTAGGCCTCACTGCTGGAATTCTCTGCCCAGGGCTGGACAGACTGTTCCCGTCTCATCTCTGCTCCAGGCCCATTGCACCTCCTCTACCTATTACAGTGCCTTTTCCCACCTTCTAATCAAGCCTGCCCTGACCCCATCCAAGAAAACCCTGAGCCTTCACAGACATCCCTGCAGCTGGGATTCCCACACACACGCTTGGGGCATCCGCTGCAACTCCCATCTCAGGGTTCTTCTGGAAGCAAACTTGGGGTTTGATCCACATTCCAGGGCCCAACAGGTACACTCACCCTTCCAGCATGTCTGGCCTGTGCCCTCTCCCGTGACTGTTGCAAAAGAGGAGGGCTCCCTGCAGTCCCCAGAGGGAAGCTTTTGCTCTCTCTTTCTGCCTAAGGCCTTAAGGTGTGGGCACCAGTGCTGTGCATCTGTGGGTACCATCTCCATTAAGCCTAGACTCCTGGGGCTCCTTTTCATCTGACAAGGCTGACCTTCACTTCAGGTTTCCTGCTCAGCCCCAGTGAATCCACTTCTCTGCAAGCCAGAGATTGCAGCCCTAGAGTTTTCTCGCATTCCCCACCTCATTACCCCCCTGTACCCCCAAGTCCTATCCATCCTGCCTTCTAAGTCCTCAGTCTTTACTTACTCTTGCTTACCCCTCATGTCAGTGCTGTGAAAGCAGGGACCTCACCTGGGTCACTCAACGCAGCGGCCTCCCCTCCTGCCCTGACCCCCTGACCCCTGGCTGGTGGCTGTGGCTTTCTCTCTCTTCCTCCCTCTCAGAGCCCATCTGCTCCGTGGCTGCCTGTGATCTCAGGTCTCTGGCCCGCCCTTGTCCCCATTGCCTGTGTGCTCAACTGTGTCTCTCCACTCTTACTCCATCTTGTAGGTATTAGATGAGAATCTGACTTGATTCTTTCACCTTCAAAGAACCAGGGGACCCAACACCATTTTTTTTTTGGTCTGAATAATCCATCCTTTCACAACCCGTTTGAACTACTTCCTCCAATCCTAAATTTATAACATCATTCATCTGTTAGCCATGTCAAACTTGATTTCAGGAGTCAGCGGTGCCTTTTACAGGATCTCTTTGTAGCTTGGGGCCCCATGATGAGTGCCCTGAAATGCCAGGCGTGAATAAAATGCAGCAGCTTTCTCCTGGCTTTCAGATCAACCCAACAGCTAGGGTAATACCTCCCGCCGAGAGCTTCTCTCGCCAGGGAAGAAGGTTCATTGTCAGCGTGGATATTTATTCATGTATTTGGCGATTTTATTTCTTCTCCTAAGTAGATAAAGTACTGAACTATAACAAAATGCAAACAGCACCAAGGGGGAAAAGCCCCCCCCCGACCCCCCCAATCCCCCAGCTTGTCACCACTGCTTATGCCAGTCCCCCTGCCCTGGCTTTCACCTCAAGGTATGTTTTGGCAGTCTTTCCAAATTGGATCTGAAAGAGTTTCTAATTCTCTTTTATCGCCGCCTGTACTCACTGTGGTCTTTAATTCGCCTGCCCACCGGGCTCCCGTGGTGCAGATGTTGGAGGAGCCTGCTGGCTGCCTCATTCTGCCCTCACTGGTGGCTGCCCCGCTGGGCTTGGTGCCCAGGCTCACCCCAGGCAGGAGGGTGGACGCTGTAAGATGGGCTGTCACATTCTTAGCAGACTGACCGGAGCTCCAAGCGAGAATTCCCACCAGCGTGTGTGCCATCTTGTGCCCCCGCTTTGTTGATCAAGACTTCAAGGGAGGTGCCGCAAATTTAAGGAGAAGTTGAGCATGACCATGAACGGTGATAGTAAATGCAAGCACAAACCACCTGAGAGGGGACTAATGGACCGTTCAGGTTCTTGGAGCAGAGTGAATCCAGGGACCAGGGCTCTACTGGGGTGGCTCCGGGAACCCGGGAGCTCCTGGAAAAGGCCCCCTCTGCCCAGGGATCCAGCGTGTGTTGGCAGCAGGCCTGGCGGCCACTCAAAAAGCTCCATAAAGAGGAAGAAGGAGTCCGAGGGCTGCCTTCACGCCGCAGAAGCTGATGTCCCCAAGCTCTGGGGACCCGCCTCACTCACCAGCCTCGGAGTTTATTGAATACCCCGTGCGTGCAGGTCCAGCATGAACGGGAAGATGAAGCCCACTTACACAGACTGCCCGGGGGCGGAGGACGGACCACGGCCTCCTGAAACGGGCCACAGGCCGCCCCCAGCAGTGTCACTGAGTTCTTCACCGGAGGTGGCAGAGACAAGGATGGCACCAAGGCTGGAGAGTGTTCGCAGGGCGTCCACACAGCCCATCTGGAAGGCACTTTGGCGAGATCACGCTTCTTTTTGTTTTCTCTTCACTGGATCAAACAGCCAGTGTTCCTGACGCTTATTTCGTGTTATCGTCCCCTTCCCCATTCGAATGCAAGCTCCCTGCAGGTGTATCCCAAGGCCTAGAACAGACTAGAATATCATGGGTGCTTATAAAATATTCAGTGAAAAAGTGAACGCCAAGTTCTGGCCCTCTTATCTCTGCTTCTGTGATGGAGATACATCACAGAAGAAAGAGAAGAGAGTTGTTCCTAGAATTTGGACATCTTGTGTGGGGAAAATGCCTTGAGGTGCCACTCCCTCTCCTCGGAAGCCAAGGACCAGAGATTTCTTTGTTCCACCTTCTGGGAGTTAGCCCCAGCTTCACCAGTCAGAGGCTCCGAAGGACAGGACCCCACAGCCATCACCAGGTCCTTCTGGGCTCTTTCCTGGATCCCTGGCCCTGGCTCCTGACTCTTCCGAGCCCAGCTCTCCATTCATCCCTGAATTCTGGAGCTCCCCAGTAGCCTCTCAGCTTGGTCTTTTTCTGCCTCAAGCAGCAGGAATCTGACACCAGTGAGGAGCTGAGGATAAAGTGAGGCCCTGCAGGCAGCCCTGGGAGAAAGCAGCCTTTGAAACAGCAGGTCTTTCTGCACTGGGGATGGAGATGGCGTGGGGGCACTGACAGGTGCACAGTAGCTTCCCCCAGAGTGTCCTCTGTGCTCCACATTGCTAGATAGGGGCCACTCCCTGTCCTCAGCGCTGACCCAGGTTTGCACCGTCCTTCCCCTCAGCTCACAGCCACGCCCAGGCCCTGTGCCAGTTCCTTTATTCCTGGCCTCTCATCTCTCCCAGCTTCATTTCCTCACTCCACCTCACACCACTGTCAACTCCCTTCCTGCATGCTTTCTAGAAGCGCCCACCCTGAAAACTGCACAGGATATGATGTGGTGTTGCAACATGTTTCCCTTGTCCTCACGTCAGCCCCAGGGGCCATTCCATGAAGCTTGTCCCTTTAGATTCTCAGAGGACCCCAAACTTCATTACACTTCCTGCTGCTGAAACCTCTGTACTCCCCGCAGAGAGCAGGGACCCTTCTTTCTTGGCCATCTTCCGCCCCCACCAAACAACCTAGTGCACCTGTGATTCCTACCTCCTTTCTTTCCTCCCGACCCTTCCTGTCCATATTTAGGAGAGACTCTGCAGAGAACCAGAAGCTCAAGGTATAGGAAGGAGAAGAGAGAAGGAATGAGAAGGAAGGTCCTAGAAGAGCTGGGACTTTGGGGACCCAGGCTCTTACTATAGCACCCCTGGATTTGTGCAGGGGAACCTGCCCCTCTCCTCATGTTCCCTCCTGTCAGACCCTTCCTCACACTGTCTGGCAGTGCAGCCTTCCTTCAAATGCACACCCATTCCTCTCTTGAAATCCTGTGCTTGAAATCCTTCCACATTTTCCTCAGGATGAAATTCGAACAGCCCAGCCTGGTAGCCTGGTATGCCAGGGCCTTCTTCCTACTTCCCCAGTCCTTTTCCCATCCCCCGTCTCCACCCCAACCCCCACAGGCACCCGCTCTGGTCACATCCTAAAACTTAGCAGCCTCCTCCCCCAACTCACAATGATCACTTGCCTCTGAGCTTTTTGACATCTGCTCCCTCTTCCTAGAGAGGCCTTTTCCAGGCCTTCTCTTTGCCTGGTTCGCATTCATCATCCTCAAGGCCAGGGTCGTGTCTCAGCCTCTGCTCTGGTGAGAAGCCTCCCGACAGACGCTGGGCCCTGGTTACTGGCGCCTTTGCTGATCCCAGGGGCTGTGCGATGGTGACACAGAGGCCGAGGCTTTGTTCTCCGGGCCCTGGAGCCTGGTCCAGAAGCAGAACTCGTCGAGTATGCTTGGGAAATGGTTGCTTCTGGAAGGCAGGTTTCAAGACGCAGAGAGAGAAAATTTTTCAGTAAGTGGCAGATTCCAAAAAGAAAGATGACTCAGGTGGGCTGGGAAAACCTGTAATG